CTTGCAGAAACTATTTGGTATGGAATTCAGTATAAGAGAAATATCTCTCAAAGATGATTTTTTTTTTTAAGATTTTATTGGGGAATTGGAGAAGGGGAACAGCATTGGGGAATCAGGAAAGGGGAACAGACAAGTTGCTGTCCTTTTGTTCTTTAGTCTAGTTGTGGAGGACGTTGCTTCACTGGCCCATGTTGGTATTATGATCATTGCGCTTTTCCTGGGTGAGGCAGTTGCTCGCGGGCCATTGGATGGCTGCTCACGGTGACTCAAGGCAGTTCATGAAAGCTCACGCCCACTGCCAGCCCCACTGCAGCCTACCGCTGTCGCCAGTGACTCATGGAAGCCCAGCTCCAGGTCAAGCTGTTGTTCACCATCGTAGCTGTAGAGGGCAGTGTCACTGGCCCTCATGTGGAATCCGAACCAAGGCCCTGATGCTCAGAGCTGGCGTCCCAAGCCAACTCCTAACCAACACACCACTCAGCCGGCCTTCAAATATGATTTAATCACCACAATTATCAAAGTAGTTGGTGGTGACCACATGACATGGATTTTGAAAACCACATTAGTGAGATTCCATTGTATAAAGATATTTTTATTCATAGCTTATGTTATAAAATAGAACCAATGAATCTTAAAATTATCCTAGACACTGAACATTACAAAAAAATCCCAAAACAACAAACCTTTAATTCACTTAAAAATACATAAAATATTTTTCTTCCACCCCCCCAAAGTATGGTACTTTACTGTTCCAAAAATATTACACATTCAAATAAACTGTAATTATGAACATATATAGCTTCTCACAGTTAGAACTTTAAAAATGGATTGTGCTAAATAAAATGCATGTTGCTGCAATATTTAAATAAGCTTTAAAGTAAATCATTATAAGCAGGCATGCAATTACTATGGCTTTAGAAAGGTTTAACTACGAACTAAAACACAAAAGAATTAAATTTCAGCAGCTTTTGACCACCACACACCGGTTCTTCACTATCTTCCTTATCTCCTGAGTTTTAAAGAGAAAGCCTTCTTAGGCAAGATAACTGGAATGAAAAATTGTGGAGAGAAAAGGTACAGACTGAAAAGATGTGAAAAAAAAACAGAAAGAGAGAATCTAGATATACTTAGGATTTCTGGTATTGTAAATCCATTTTTATTTATTTTTTTATTATTATTATTTTTTTAGCTGAGCCATCCTGCTACCTGTTGGCAGCTCAGCGGCTGCTCAGCTCGGGCTGGACTCGAACCGCTGTTGCTCAGAGCTGAAACTCTTGAGCGAGCTCTTAACCAACTGAGCCACTCGGCCGGCCCCTGTAAATCCATTTTTAAAGAACTAATTTTTACTGGATACATAGTGACTTTGAATCTTGCTCCCTCCCTAAGGATTAAAGTGAAAAATGAGATTTCCAAAAGAATATGTGTGGTTTGGTGAGAGGGGAGGGAAAAATGGGCTGTGGTACTAAGCTGCAACAGAGTATCTATTTGGCAGGGTCCAGTTTAATCTGATGCATCAGCCAAACTCCTGATGTTCACAACCTTCCCTGAAATTAGTATCAGTTAAAATCCTGGAGCTGTTGGCAACTGGCAGCTGAACTCTCCTGCCTGGGTTCCCCATAGCTACAGCAAATTGGCAGTAAGGCTGCCTTAGCAGCTGCTAATGGGCTGATGGTGCCGTACAACATGATTTTACTTATGTACAATAGAACAAATACAAACCCATGCATTCCTATATGTGCCACAGATGAATGTCACTGCATAGAAAAATGTTTGAAAAGACACACATAAAACCATTACTATGCGTTTTCTCTAGGGAGGGGATTGGGATGGGTCAATGGGTCTTTTCATTTTATGGTTTAAATTTTTACTGTAAGAATATAATCATGTATTATTTGCCTAATTTTAAAACTTAAAATTAAGAAAGCAACACTGGGATTGCCAACCTATGCAGAGAGAGATGTGGACACTATGCAGGAGAATTTACATCTTGTAACAAAGTAGCTCACCACAGAAAGTTGCATTACCAGTTTCTTCAGGGGACAATAACTTCATGAGTGATTCTATCTTTGTATGGAATGTCCTTGTTCTGGCTTATCTACAACTTCCCGTTGGACATTTTACTGAGATACCTTGCTAGGACTGCAATCTCTGCAGGCCTAAAACCATACACATTGTGTCACTTTCTTCTTTTTATCAATTCTATCCCCATATTCTCATGTTCAAAACCTAGGGATATTTGACTTCCTTGTCCCCAGATTAAATTAGTCATCAAGTCATGCTTATCCCATCTCTGCCATTTGGCCTTTCCTTTTTCATTTATAGCACACTACAGTTGACCCTTTCACAGTATGGGTTTGAACTGAGCGGGTCCACTTACCCGTGGATTTTTTTCAATAAGTATGTATTTACAGTACTGTAAATGGTATTTTCCTCCTTTATGATTTTCTAAACATTTTGTTTTCTCTAGCTTAGTTTATCGTAAGGATACAGCACATAATACATATAACATAGAAAAAACAGTTAATCGACTGTTTATGTTATTGATAAGGTCAACAGTAGGCTATTAGTTGTTAAGTTTTTGGGGATTGAATGTTATATACAAATTTTTGACCTCACGGGAGGTTGGTGCCCCTAACTCATGCATTAGTCAAGGGCCAACTGTGCTTCAAATTTGATTACTTCACACACAAATTCTTATAATAGTTTACCAACTAATCTCCCTGCTTCCAGTCTCTCCCATCTGTCATTCATTTTGCACATAAATGCCAGATTAAAAATCTTAAAAGTAGAGTTTGTTTATTCTACTACCTGGCCAAACATAACACACACAGACAGACAGACATACTCTTCCAATACTTGTCTACTTACTTCACATAAAGCCTGAAATCCATTCAAGGATCCCTAGGGTCTGACTTTAACACTAACATCTTGACTTTATTTCTTATTACCTGACTCTTGGAATCATTTATCTAAATCCTCTTTAACTGTCCACTGAAGATACTCTCTTTTCCCATGATGCACCTTTCTCTTCGTGAAGTGCTCAAGTAAGTATTTATTTTATTTGTGAGGACTTTGTTGTCTGGCATTTTTGTCTAATTAATTTGATTTAATGCATTGGATCTATTTCTTGTGTCTAAAGTTAATTACAAGCTTTTTAAAGGCAGAATCTTTGCCTTAAGCTTTTTATTATTTTTCTCCTCCACCATTCCCCATCTATTACAGTGTATTCATCAAAGAAGTCTAAAATCAAAGAAAGCTTCTCTGTGCCTTCCTTATTTCTGGGGAGCAGAAATATGCTTCTATAAATAAAAAACAAAGTAAAAAATAATATATAGATGTTGTATATAGCTGTTAAAATGAACCCTGAATGAATTTGAGTTAGAATGTAGGTACCTAGAGGTAAATGTTTTGGTTGGTGTATACAATGAATCCTGTCAGTTTGTTCATTTAACAGTATTTGTTGTGGGCATACTATGTGCCAGTATTTTTCTAGGCCCTGGGGATATGGCAGTGACCAAACACACCAAAACCATTGCCTTCATGGAACTTACATCCCAATGGAGAGGACAGATAATAAATGAAATAAATAACTCAAACACATAGTTTGTCAAATTGTGATAAGTGCTTTGGGGAAAGATGAATCAGAAAAGGAGTTTAGGGAGGGTCGACGGTGCAGGGGGTAGTTGCAAGCTAAAATAGGGTGATCAAGATTTTCCATATTAAGATTGGCTTAAATCAGTTTGCCTCAGAAAATATGACTAGGAATATTTTTCTGATGTTTTAATTTTAGTTGGCTTTTAACAAAGACTTCAAAATGGCAGCACAAGTTCATTTTTAGTTCAATGAAGAATAGTTCTCATACATATGCAGCCTGGATTCAATTCTATTTCTTGGGTTGGATTATTACCAAGATCTTAACAAGGAAAATGAAGAACTATGGATGCCTCAGGAATTGACTAACCACTTATACCTGCATTAAACATGCTTCTCTGCAGCCAGAAGCTGACTAGTACCAGATCAAGGACCAGAAAGGATTTCTTGGCAAAAGGATTCCTTGCAAAAATAATTCCGAAACTTGGGCTGAGCTCAAATTTTAAGATTTATGTGGACATTCAAGACTTACCTTTTCATATTACCATGTGAACAATTTGAACAAATAATACAAACTCCAGGAACTTAAGTTTCAAAAGGTCTAGAGTTTAAGAAGAATATTTTTCATCTCCTCTCTCAGCATTGTCCTTTATTATAGCAATCATTCTTTTCACAGGGTTATCCACTAATACTTCTATTAATGAAGAAGATGCATTTCAACATTACCCTTTGTCACCAAAAAATGTTGTCATTAAATAATATAGAAGGCATTGGAATACATTCTAGGAAGAAGGAGAATAGGGTATAGGGTATATATTATTTGGATAAAATAATACCAGTAGGAAGTTATTCCAGTATATTAAAACATTATATTAAAGTTGAGTCCACTCATCATTCTGTTAATTAATGTCGGATAATTTCTAAGTTTGATTAGGGATGAAGGAAGGACACGGAAGACCTGCAGATGGTAAAGGTTAGAGGTGATAGACATATTGACATCAGAAAGAAAAAAGGGAAGTGAATGGGGAAAGTAAGAATGCCAAAAACCAAACAACTCACAATTTTGCTTAGAGCCCATGCTATTAATAGCTGCGATGGACAAACCAAAGCTGTGGGTAGAAGTTTCTGTGTGTGTGTGTGTGTGTGTGTGTGTGTGTGTGTGTGTGTGCGCGCGCGCATAACGAGATAAATGACAAGCTAATAATGCTTCACATAATTTATCAATAATTTTTACTTGCTTTTCTTCCCCTAGCATTGATGACTATGTAGAAAGATGTTTAGTCCCAGGTAATTCTATAATGAGGTATTACATCACCAGACTATATAAATAGATACCCTCTAACGATGTACAAGTAAAAATAGATTAAGTAAATTTCCTTTTCTTAAAAAAGCGCAGAGAAACTGCTTACCTGATATACATGAGTGTGAAGTGTATTTTTGGATTCTTCCTGTACCAATTCCAACAGGTTTCCAATTAAACTTTGCAATTTTCTTTCATTTCTCTAGGAACCTCCAATACAGGATAATGAGCAGGTGTGCTATGCTAGAAGTAAGGTGGGTACCTTAAGGATGAAAACCAAGGAGGAAGCATTTGTATAGTAAACTAAACTGATAGAAATTAAGAACTCCTTCAATTAAATATTTTTTATTGGTTTGGAGAAGAAGATTCACATCACCCCATTTAACACCACAACGCTGAATGTACTCACAAATCCATTTGCTCAATAGCTAAATCTCACAAGAATACCTTGAAATGCTTCATAATATATTGTGTACACTAAGCTGCTTCCAAATCAAAAGAATAAAAGTGAAAAACCCTAGATTAAAATTAGAAAATCAAGTAATGCATTTTAGACTAACTCTTTAGGATAGAAAATAAGACTTTTTAGAAGGCCTCCATCTTCTTTTATACCCTATTTTTGAATGAGTGAAGCTTTTCATACTTGCTATCTTTACACTGAAAGGAATTACAAAACAGGCTCTTACGGTTTTATATTTTTTGGTGAAATTAAGTCTTTTTTTTTTTTTTTTTTTTTTTTTTTTTAGCTGAGCCATCCCGCCACCTGTTGGCAGCTCACGGCTGCTCAGCTCGGGCTGACTCGAACCGCTGTTGCTCAGAGCTCAAACTCTTGAGCGAGCTCTTAACCAACTGAGCCACTCAGCCGGCCCCTATTAAGTCTTTTCTTTATAGGAGTAATTCTCAGTTCCCAGGTTCTGGCCATGTGATGCGTTTGTGCCCACTACGCCACATTATATCATGCAGTTTTACTGCAACATCTGATTTCAACTCAATCTAAGTAATTTTTGCCACCAGCTACTGTCTTGGACTTGTTCCTCTGTGTGGTTCCAGCTTCTTTACAAATGATCTTCTGGTTCCTTCCATTAACTTTAGGTTATGGTTACTAATATGGCTAAGGGATTGCTCTATTTCAACAGTATAACAAATGGGGCTGGCCGAGTGGCACGTTGATTAAGAGCTGGCTTGGGACACCAGCTCTGAGAAGCAGGGCCCCAGTTCGGATCCCACATGAGGGCCAGTGATGCTGTGCCCTCTACAACTAAGATGGTGAACAACAGCTCGACCTGGAGCTGGGCTGCCGTGAGTCACTGGTGACGGCACAGGCTGCAGCCCCTGCTGCCATGAGCTACGGTGAGTGGCTGGCAAATCAACATGAGCGGCTGACAGCTGGTGTGAGTTGCTGGCAGCCACTGTGAGCGGCCATCCAATGGCCGGCGAGCGATCTGCCTCACTTGGGAAGAACGCAATGATCACGATACCAACATGGGCCAGTGAAGCTACATCCTCCACAACTAGACTGAAGAACAAAAGGACAGCAACTTGTCTGTTCCCCTCCCCCGATTACCCTATAAAATCTTTAAAACAAAAAACAAAAAAAACCACAGTATAACAAATGGATGGACTTTTGTAAGATCTTTCTCCTCAGTGGGCAGTGAAAAAAGCTCATCTTAAGAATAATCAGGTGGGTGGAGCGAATAACCTGAGCAAAAAGAGGTCAAACACCTCTCAGTGTCCAATCAGTTCTTATGCCAAGGGAAATGGAAACAATAAGTCCTTGGTGGCCTTCTCCTAATCCTTTGTGTCCTTTCACTTGAGAAAATGGTGAAACTGACATACAAAGAGGACTTACGATAAGTTTTTTTCCCCAATGCATGTATTTGTGTTCATCCTGTCAACTATTTTTGTTTACTTTTCTTGTAAATGGTGAAACAGGGTTAAGCGTTGAGGATGCATCTGGCCAAGGACCAGTTTTGTGAAGTTGCTTGGCTCAAACAAAGATGAAAATGGAAACTTTGGCCTCCTAAATCGCTATGGATCTCAGGCAGGTCTGCTTATGTCAGAAAGCCAAGGGTTCCAGCACTGTCTTTTCAAAAAACAACAAAGGCTCAGTGTAGATTAATTAAGATTTTCAAATTGCTTCAAGAATCTTAGATGAGATGCTGAGTTGTGGGTTCAGCTCTTTCTCTTCTCTAAACGGAATGGTGTCCAGGGCAGAGACTTGGATTAGGAAGATGGACTGTCTTCAACTCTACCTGGTGGCCAACATACTAGATACTAGAGCTTGTTGGCTGACATTTAACGCTTAGCAAGGTTGAGCTATATGTGGGTAAAAAGTACTCTTTCTCAGACTACTTGTAAAGCCTACAAATTCAGGGATGGGTGTGAAAAAGAAAAGGTTTGGGTAGACATTTAGCATGCTAAACGGCCTAGATCACTTAAAAATCAGAGAATTGTGACAGATAAAACTAATCCGGGGAAGATGCGGAAGGGGCTATGTTTGGAGTTGTGTGCCTACTTGTAAGACTGAAACATTCTCATTTTTTAGTATTTATTTGTACATATAACACTATTTTGGGTGGGAAGATGCACAAGCAATAGTTTTTTTGTTTTTGTTTTTTTACCTGAAAGAGCTCCTGAAATGGCTGATTAAATAGCCCTACTCACTCAGCTTGCATACTCAGCTTGTATAAGGAAGTCTGGCCAAAGGTTTGATCAAACCTAAGTTAGTGTGTATCTCTCAGGTCTAGCACTTAACCTTAATGCCCAACTGAGTCAGGTTTAATTGATGGCCATGGAAATATGCAGAAATAATAATAGCAACAAACATTTATTGTTTCCATTTTATATTTAGTGCTATATGTTTTGTATAGATTATTTAATCAAATGCTTACAATAACCTTATAAAGTAGGAAGTTTTATTCTGGATCTGATCAAAACCATCACTAACACCAGAGGAATAACTCATCATGTATGTCCTACTCATGGTGGATCAATAACGCCACCAGATTATAGAGAGGTTAGTTCATGCTAAGGCATACTGAGGTGTTGCCTTTTCCTGGAACAACACTTCACCAGGCTGTGAAGATACTTCTTCTGGTCCTACTCCCATCACATTGGCCGCTCCTTCTCTCTGTTTCCTTTGCTGAATCCTCCTCATCTTACTGTCTTAATGTTGGAGTGCCTCAGGGCTCACTTCTTGGTTCTCTTCTTTCCTCTAGTTACATTATCTAGTTGATCTTAACCAGTCTCATGACTTTAAATACCATCTACATGCTGACAACCTCCACATTTCAGTCCACCCCAGATACATATGTACACATATGTATATATATGTATATCTATATATACGTACACACACACACACACACACACACACACTAGGTCTGAAAATTAAATTCACTAACTTGTTGCAACAATATTGCTAACCTTTTTTTGATATCAGAGGGATTTTTCATTATGAATTTGTACCAACTGGACAAACAGTTAACCAAGTTTACTATTTGAAAGTGCTGAAAAGGCCACATGAAAAAGTTAAGACGACCTGAACTTCTTACCAACATTTCATTACAACAATGCACAAGCTCACACGGCATTGTCTGTGATGAAGCTTTTAGCCAGTAAAAAAAAAAAAAGTATCAAAACACCCTCCCTACTTACTTGATCTGGCTTCCAATGACTTCTTTCTTTACCGGAAGGTAAAAGAAATACTGAAAGGGAGACATTTTGATGACATTCAAGACCTCAAGGGTAATACAATGACATCTCTGATGGCCATTCCAGCAAAAGAGTTGCAAAATTGCTTTGAAGGGTGGACTAGGCACTGGCATCAGTGCATAACTTCCCAAGGGGAGTACTTCAAAGGTGGTCATAGTGATATTCAGCAGTGAGTAGGTAGCACTTTTGCTAGGATGAGTTCACAAACTTAATTGTCCTTCCTTGTATATGTATTTGTTTACACCTATCTTCACATGGATGTTTAGCAGGCACCTCAAACTCACTATGTCGAAATCAGAGTTTACAAATACTCCCCTTTCCCCACCAAATCTGTTTCTTCTCTATCTTCTCAATCTCAGTAAATGTCAACTCCACTTTCCCAAGCGCCTAGACCAAAAACCCTTGGGATCATTTCTGACGGCTCTTTCTCTTATACTCCTGTCTACTCTATCAGCAATTCCTGGGTGCTTTATCTTTTAAATAGAATCAGAATCTGGCCATTTTTCTCCACCACTCTGACTTTAGTCCAGGCCATCCTTATTTTTCATCCCAGCTAGGCTAAACTCCTCGCTTGCGCCTTTGCTTCCCTACATATATTGCTCATATAGCAAGCAGGAATTAAAAAACCCCAACTTATTATGAACCTTTTAAAATATACACACATATAAATGAACATTTCGCCCATCTTCTTTCTTCTATTCTTTACCCTTCCTTTTTTTGGTGGAATATTTTAAAACAAATTGCAGCAAAGTTGTTCTTTTATCAGAGCAAGCTGCTCACAACTTTCCATTAAGAGCCAAAGCCTTCTCCACGGCCTATAAGGCCTATGTGATTTGTCAATCCCTCCCTCTTCCCCCCACAATCTCCTTCCATTGTCTCCTGTCCTCACGCTGCTTGAGTTACACCAGAGGTTCTCCAACCTCAGCGGCCACCAGCATCGTCTGGAGGGCTTGTGACACGCAGCACAGGCTGCCTGGCCCACTCGCAGGAGTTTCTGATTCAGTAGATCGGAAGTGGGCTTCCAGAATTCGCATTTCTATTAAGTTCCCAGATGCCCCTGCTGCCCAGCGGGCAAACTTGCAGAACCACCTGCTACACTGTTCTTCCAGTTCCTTAACAAGCCAGGCAAGATTTTGCACAGGCGTCTCTGCACTGCTCTTCCCTCTGCCCTGAGTACTCTTAGCATTACTCAAGATTCGTGTCATCCCATCTCCGTTTAAATACCATCTTTTGAGAGGCTTCCCTTGATAGCACTCCTAAAATAGCACCTCACCTCCTCACCCTGCTATGATTTCTCTTCATAGCAGGCGTCGTTCCTTTCTCGTTTCTCTTATCGGTCTAGGTGGACAGCTCCACAATCGCACACCTGGTTTTGCTCTCTATCGTATCTCGGGGACCCAAACCTTGCGGAGTAGGCGTCCACTTCACTCGAATGGATCCGACACTGAGGAAGGAGGCCCAGCTTCTTGCTTGGGACACTAGATAGGCGAACTCATTTCTTCCTGCCTCAGTGTCAGCATTTGCAAAGGAACTGGTCTGTGATGCTTACCTTTCCCATGTCCCTGGGCTCAAATCAAGAGAATAACGTGGACACGCCAGTGAAGCACAGCGATCAGTGACTAGCAAACGCTGTGATGCTGTGCTTTCGGGTTCCCATTTTCTGCACAGACAACACCCCCTCTCATTCTCTAGCTCCCCCTCCCCGGTGACCCACAGACTCCACTGCAGGCGGCGGTCTCCCCCGTCCCGCCCCGCGGCCGCGCGGGCCCGCGTCTGGGCACGCCCGCCCCGCCGCCGCCGCCGCCTCAGCAGCAGCAGCAGCAGCGGCAAGAGGAAGGGGAGGCGCCGAGGGAGGGGTCCTCGGCCGCCGCGGGAGGCCGCATCGCCGTCCCGTCACGGCGTCGGCGCCGGCGGGGCCGAACCCGGAAGTGGCCGAGCCCGCGAGCCCGCCCGTCCCGCCGCCGTCGCCGCTGCCCCGCACTCGGGCGAACCCGGGAGCCGCGCAGGCACACAGAGCGCGCTCGGCCAAGCGGGCCATGGCTGCGGGGGCCGCTGCCGCAGGTGGTGGCGCGCGGTGAGGCGAGCGGCGCCCCCTCTGGGGCGGATGGAACGCGGCTCGGCGGGCGGGCAGTGCCGGCGTCCGCGGCTGGAATGGTGCTGGCGGCGGCGGTCGGTGCTTGCGTTCTGAAGCCCGCGAGGAGCCACAATGGAGACGCCGCCGCTGCCTCCCGGGTGAGCGAGTGAGCGGCGGGCGGCGGGCGGGTTGTGCCTCTGCGGATACGCGCGCCGCTGCGGTGCGTGTCGCCGGCCGCGGGCGCTGCGCGGCGACGGTCGCCCGGTGCCCGCCGGCGTTGGACGCCCGGAGCCGCCGGGGAGCGGGCGCTGGGGGCGGTGAGAGGTGGGAGCTGCGGGGCGTGACGAGGCGCGGTTCCCGCAGTCCTGAGGAGGACGCGGACGGAAACTCAGCCTTGGCCAGCCAGGGACTGAAAACGCTGCCCGAGATTTCCAGGCAAAGGCTTCCCGATCCCAGGCGAATAGCAGATTCGGGACGGGCTTGTGCTTGGGGACTCTGCTGGTCCCTGGAAGGCATGGGCTGCTGGTGCCCATCTGGCCGACCCCTTTCTAAGGGGGATGGAAATAGGATGCACGGAATTCCGTTGAAAAAAGGACCCTGAAAAGTACCAGACGCCCGGCGTCTAAATGAATTGGTCTTAGGTTGCTTGCTTCTCCGAATTTCTAGCAAAATTAATATACGAGGAGCTTTTACATCACTCTAAATGAGCCGCGGCTGTTCAGGGCATGTGACCTCTTTTACCTGGCACTGCAGAAAATTCTATCCAGAAATCAGAGCATCTTCTGTTTCCTTGGTACCCTGGACAAATTAGTAGTGTAGCGACCTGCCAGGCACAGGTGTCTTTTTTCCTTGGTACCCAGATACATTCAAGATCACCTGCAACAAAATTACTTTTTAGAAATAATAACAGCTGAACAATTATTTGGAAGATATTGAAGATATTACATTATTCAGCGCGAGATTAAAAAAAAACCATTTTGGTAAAAGTGGTCGATAAAGCCCCAGGAGTTCTGAAATTTTCAATTTTGATTTGCTTTCCTTAGGTTAACCTTAGGAAGGAACAAGAGCCCTTTGAATCTGACTTTTCAAAATGCAGACAAACCTCATTCTGAAGAACGGTGTACCTTTTCATAAGAGCATATGCATGGAGCCTTATCATTTTTCACTTAGATTTGGCTAGCTTCACTTCACGGCAGTTGTACCGCACCAGCCCTTTGTGGTTATTTGGCAGAATTCCAGCCAAAATATGGATATTAGGTTTGGGCTGAATCATTTTTTGATGTTGAGTCCTTTTAGGAGAGCTAATAGGATTCTGGAACTGGAATTCCTAAAAGTGCCTGATGGAATTTTTAGCTTTGAGTGGAACAGGTCATGGGGATCTAAGGAGTAGATGATGAGACACTTGAATTGACCCTCCTGGGCTGATAGAAACAGGGGTTCAGTTGCTTCACGATCGCTGTGGCTTTGAGAGCTTTGTGATCTAGTCTTATTCTTCAGCAGGTTTAGGAAGACTCCTGACTCCTAGGAAACATGATGGTGGATTGTTAGCCTCGGCAGGGTGAGCACAGCACCAGCACATGAGTTCTGTCCAGGCTGAGAGGCACTTAAGACAGGAAATGCTACCTGTATACATTGACAACACACAGCATATAGAATATACTATGAAGGTATGTTATCTGTAGCAAACCTGCCCCCTTTGTATCCATTCTCTGCAATCCCTTGTCACTTTAGGAGCAGAGGGAAGTAAAGGAAAGAACAAGGAGATCTTAGAATGCAGGTGAAAAAAAAGGGTGTGGAAAAGCAGGCTCTGGAGGGAGGGAGTAAAGACATAGACAATGATTTAAATAGAAATCATTCAAGATGAAATAGATGTATGCATGCAAATATTGATAAACTGAATCTAGAACAGATCAGCTAATCATAATTTTGGTGATTATGATTATGATTATAGCACAATTCTTTGGTATCGAGACTCAGTGCTGGAACAATGACAGGCTGAGAGGTAATGGAAAGACTGGCGTGCTAGCAGTGATGAAAGAATTGTAAAAACTTCTTTTAATCATGGCTCACTACAGTTGGTGAGACTTTTGCACTGTTTCTGTTCATTTAATAATAAATACAAATAGGTTTTGTTTTCATTTGGCCCATTTAGGATCAACCCTTTGCCCAGAGCTCAGTAGAGTGTTACTTACCTTTCTTTAGATAAGGAGTAGTCTTCCTTCCCACCCCGTGGCCTGTTTGCTTCCACTCCCATTAACTTGTTTTTTTCCCTTCCGCACTGAATCATGGATGCGGGATTTGAGAAATGCTGGCAGTGTCTTTGGAAAAGAGCTTCATTGGGCCTTACTGGGCTAGAGCTGGACTAGGACGGGGGCCAGTGGAAATTATTGGGAGGGGCTCAGCTTTTCTTAAGGTTAGATTTTTAGCCTAAGTTTTAAGGCAAAGAAAGATGTTTGATGTGAACTTAAAGTGCCTTGGATGATGGGGTTGGAGTCAGGGGCTCGTATCTTCTTTGTGCATCTATTTATTAATTCACTAATTCTGCAAATATTTGAATGTCTGTCCCTGCCTGGCACTGTGTGGTACTTTTGCTCATGCTTCTCTTTTAACAGTGAGTTTTACATTGTTCTAAAACCCCTTGCTCCCTTTAAGCCTGTTAGCACATTGTCTTGGAGGGATGGAGGTGACTATGCCCAGGCTCCCTAGTTCCTTCGGGATGGTCTGGTTGAAATTAGGTTTTGATTTCTTCTCTTTTCACTCCTTGCCTCCAAGTTCTCCTCATTCTTTTTGATTCTTACATCAGTTGTCACTGGTTTTATAGTTCTGCTTATTGTTTTTTGCATCCTTGAGTATATGTGGCATTTAGATTCTGTTGTGTTTTGGGGCCTAGGTGATATCAAGACCATGGGACATGTGCCTCTGATCCAGTCTGAAAGGTGTGCAACTAAAAATTAGATGTAAATTAGTAAAGGAGTTTCAGGCCTTGAACTGAGATGTACAAAAGAAAATGTAAACTGATAAGCCCTGACCTCAGGAATGTTTTTTAGATCCTAGCTTTTAGAGTTTTAAGAAAAGGATTTATAGAATTATTAAGTTGAGGGAAGAGTAGGAGGTATAGGACAGAGTACATCCTTTGACCTCCCCTTGCTGGACAGTTTTCTTGGCCTTTGTTTTCCTAATGGCTCCTCTTTCACAAGTTGGCTTTCTCTCTGTAGTCCTTGCTTTTTTGCTTTCCTTCTCAAAGCTAAGCAAACATATGTCAGATGCAACCACATCTTTTTTCAGTCAATTCCACATCACTGGATAGATACTCTTGAACATCAGAGGTGTTTAAGCATAGGCTAACAAACACCTTGTTGAGCGTGTTCTAAGGCTTTTATTTAAGCAGCAGGATATTGGTGGGTTAGAGCAGAGGTTCTCAAGACTTTTGGATTTTTCTGACTTGTAATATTAAAAAAAAAAAAAACGAAGTCCAACATAGAATTGCTAAGTTTTTTGTTTTGCCAAGTAAAGAAATTATCGATAAGATAATAGTTATCAACTATCATCTTTTTGTAAAAGAATGGACATTTTAGTGTCCCTTCACAAATTCAAAGAAGGACATAATCTCAGACTAAGGGATAGTTGTTAAATGGAATAAATTTAGTTTTATGAAAACTTACTACATTGCCCTATTTTTGTCATAGACCAGTTAAAAGTTCATTGAAACCTGACATTTGGGATCTGCTGGATCATATGACCTTTAATGTTGTTTCTAGTTTTAAGATTCAATTACTAAATTTGGAACCTTGCCATAGGTTACCCCAATATATATATATATATATATATATATATATATATATATTTTTTTTTTTTTTAAGATTTTTATTGGGGAATTGGGGGATGGGAACAGTGCTGGGGAATTGGGGGAAGGGGAACAGACAAGTTGCTGCCCTTTTATTCTTCAGTCTAGTTGTGGAGGACGTTGCTTCACTGGCCCAAGTTGGCACCATCATTGCGCTCTTCCCGGGCGAGGCACATCAGTCACTGGCTTCTGGACAGCCGCTCACTGCTGTTGCTGGCCGCTCACGCTGGCTGCTCGCTACAGACGGTAGCCCATGGCAACCCACTGCCACAGGGGCTGCAGCCTACGCCGTCGCTGGCGACTCACGGCAGCCCAGCTCCAGGTTGAGCTGTTGTTCAGCATCTTAGCTGTAGAGGGCAGTGTCACTGGCCCTCATATGTGGGATCTGAACTGGGGCCCTCTGTCGTCCCAAGCCAGTTCTTAACCATCGCGCCACTCGGCTGGCCTGGTTACCCCAATATTAATTTGTTTGTCTCTGATAGCCCATTGGACTGTACTCTTGGTTTTTGTTGTTGTTGTTTCTTTTTTAAAGACTTTATTGGGGAGTTGGGGGAGGGGAACAGTGTTGAGGAATTGGGGAGGGGGACCGGCCAAGTTGTTGTTCTTCAATCTTCGTTGTGCAGGGTTCCAGTTGCCATCTGGTTGCCCGTTGGCAGCTCGTGGCCTCTAAGCTCAGGGTGCTGTGTTCAATCTTAGTTGCAAATGGGTGTAGCCACCATCCCATGAGGGAGTCGAACCAGCAGCCTTATTGTTAAGAGCGCATGCTCTATCCACCGAGTCACCTGGGCAGCAGCTCAGCTGAAGGTGCCGAGTTCAGTCTTAGTT